TGCTGAACATACTCCTCGGTGCTTGGTGAAAATGACATATGGGAGACAATTAAATAACTGCCGTTATGGCCAGGTTAGTGAGAAAACAGATCCCCTCATGAACTGAATTTATGCCGTGTGTCTGATACAAAGATGCACACATAATACAGGGTTAAAAAAAGACATATTCACTTCCCGATAAGTTAACAAGCTTCTTGTTTACATCCGCCTATGGATTTCCCTGTCTTATGAAATCCTACTTTGTCCTGGCTGTACAGAATCGCCTCCATTTGCTAATTGGTGAGTAGGTTTGCTTTTTAACAAAGGGTTATTTGGTCTTGTCGCTTGATCGTTAAAAGACTGGAGGTGTAGTTTACCATCACGCAGTTTCTGAAGTCGGCTGTTTCTCCAAGCCAAGGCCCAGCTTGCCAGCTCCAGTGTTCACGCTGGAGGTGGACACATTTGGTGGTCAGGAGTGACACAGAGCTGAGCAAATCCAGCTCTAGGTAGCGAATAACCCAAAGACCTGCCGCTCAGGGGTTAGGGTCCGACCCACTGTGAAAAGCGCAGGCCGTTTGGAAGTAGCAGCAGGACGCATCAGAAAGCTCAGGGGGTGAAGCCAGACACTGCTGCCCAGTAAGAACCAGCCTGAAGGAAACCAGGGCAAAGTCAAGGACCTGGGGAACACGGCGTTAAATCATCCTACCCTCCTGGGACGCCCACCGAAGGGATGAGACAGCTTGCGCAGCCTCCCAAGATACGGCCGAGCAGAGACCAGATGCACAGCAGCTGTTCGGAGACGTGCCCACGAGCTGCAGAAGAGCTTGAGAGATGACGAGACCCTTCTCCAGAGTTGAGCTGAAGACATGACAGTGAACAGTGCTTATATTGCCCATGCTGTGCTACTCCAGCAGTAAGGAGATGACTACAGAGACCTCAGGCCCCGACGTGCTCCCATCAACATCCCTATCCATTCTCCCCTTATAATAAAAATAACAAATAGATATTTGCCCCTTTGGACACCCCGTTCCCTCACAAGTCCTCCTTCCCTCTTTTCCAGACAACTTGACCTGGCTGGCCAGGAGCTGCGGGAGGGCAGGGGAGCCTGGGGAGGCTCTGCCCGCTCCCCTTCCCTCGGCTCCCGGGTCGGAGGAACCGCAGGGCAGACGCCGAGGAGCAATGCCGGAGAAAGCGAAGCACCGCGCCATTTTGTGGCTCCTTGTTCCAGCTGTCCCAGGGGCAGGCTGCCGCCTATTTCTAGCTCCCGAGGTAGCTGAAATACCACCGTGATATTCATTAACGAAAAGCCCGTAGGATGGGAACGGCGAGGCAGGGAGGGGAGGGAAGGTGCTAGCTGGTCTGGTTTGTTTTGCTTTATTTAATTGCTCGCTTCAGTACAGCCGCAAAGCGTGGCAGGAGGCTCAGCTCCTCGCACCTCAGGAAAAGAGGGAGCGCCAGACCCAGGGGAGGTGGGAAGAGAAAAGTCAATCAGGCAGTATTTAAAAATCTACCTGCTGGGCCCAGAGGGGGCTGGAGGTTTTAATGTCATTCCCAGCTTGAGATGCAGCCTGGAGAGGGAGAAAAGAAAGGGGTATCTTCTCTTCTTGGAGCCTTAATTGCTTGTTAAATCATCTAACAAACGCATGAACTCTCGGATGGCCCCACGGTCCTTGACAGAGGGGCTTTATCCTCGGTGGCGGGAGGAGTATTTTTTAAAATGTTCATTTCACCTGCTTTTTCTGGATCTATAAAATTGGGAGTTGGTCGACACAAGGTTCACTCAGCAAAATAAAACCTAGGTTTTTTTTACCGTACAGCAGGAACGAGAAGCTTTCCTACCTGCAGTTCCCCTGCCATAGCCTGTTGACACAGCCTGCCTTGCAGCCAGGCTCCCAGCACTGCAAGAAAACAACCCTCCAGAGCCAAAAAAGAGGCATCCAGTGAGCGCAGAGGAGTCCCAGCCTCTCTTGGTTTGCCTATACCAAAATAATTCCCTGCCCCACAAGCTGCAGGCCCTCGCAGACCTGATAGCCATGGCCTGATGCAGTTGTCCCTGTTCGCTCCCCTTCTGCTCCGTCTTCACTGCTCATTTGTCTTTTGTTCAAGCCCTGTTGCATGGGGTCTTAAAATCAGAAGCGACTGTCCAAACTGTGGAAAGGCAAGGCAGCTATTTCCCAGCACAGAAAACGTAATGACTATCACAATCCCTCTGACGCTTTGCAGAAAGCAACCTCCAGTTCAATCTACAACGGTCAAAAGCAGCCCAGGTCTTGCCCATAACAGCTAGAGAGCTTCAGATACGCTTTGCTATCACAGACAGACGGACCTGTAACTTGCACCTGTAAAATCCTCCCCCCCCCCACTGTATTCCAGACATACAAAAGACTTCCTTCCTAGCTAATTGAAAGCATCATACTACACGACAACTTGGACAGCTTGTATTGCACCCATCCAAAACTACCAGGATGAGAGTGAATCAGGCAGAATTACACAGGTGGGAACACAGCTAGCACGCAGGAGCGGTCAGCATCCTCCCAAAGACCTCTGCTCATCAGGACACTGTTTGCAGGGCAGAAGAGCTGCATCTCGAGCTGGATTGCTCAGGGGCTGCCCAGGACTCCAGCCTTACAAGAGCCACAAGCGAAGAACGGCATCAGTCAGTCATCAGATGCGCTTCCTCCTCCTTGCTCTGTACTTTCCCTCTTGTGCACCAATAATGGGGCCACACAGGATGGCAGCCCTGGGCAGACCGGCCATTAGCAGTTTTTGTGTTATTTAAAATGTGTGGAAAGAGGGGAGGAATTACAGCTTGTGAGCACTGTAGGAAAACAATACTGAGGATTTATGAATATTCACTGAGATCAAGAAGCACTCCAGGGCAGAAAACAAGCTTTGGAAATTAACTCAACTCGGTGAGGTTTTTTGTTTGTCTTGGCTTTGAGGTGTGAGTGACCAGTACTATTTCTCAATAAAGAGTGGAGTCTGTACAGAGGGCTAGGAGGATTCCTGGACAGTAAAATATGAAGTTAGGTATGTTGTGATAAAGACTTTATGTTCATAAAGTCTTCAAAGCATAAAGACTCCACCCCATTAAGTTTTATGAGTTGATGTCTCCATACAGTACTGAGACTTCTTCAACCGATACAGACTTAATGTTCTGGGAACTTCAAGCTCTTTCTCCGAGTGTTGAAATCTCCAGCAGCTTCAATCTCCAGCGCTAGCAGTTTGGTGCCCTGCAGTTTTTCAGTAATTTCAGTATTTGATGAATGATATGATCCTGGCCATACAATCTGTGTCATACATGTTGGCTTTCCCAAACATAAATTTAGATACATTGTGTACTCTTCAAAACTGGCCATCCTCCCCTTCTAATTATTCTCATGACCTAAGAAATAATCTGCCACAAAACCTGTAACACCTTGTCTGCAGTGCTCAGGCGGTCCCTGGAGAGAGACCCATTCCGCACTTGGGCTAGTCCCAACACAGCTGCTAAATTAATTGAACATCAGACAGGAACATCAACAGCATGTGGCAGGGAAGAGTAACAGGATAAAGCATGCTGCAGCCAGTAATAATGTGAGAGCACTTTGGAAGTGGGTCTTCTCCAGCAGGCAATGAAGTGGCTCTTCTCTAGCAGGCAATGAACAGGCTCCCCAGAAGCTGGGAACCAAACCTCTTTGGGCTTTGTGCTCATTGAGAGATTATTTTGATAGGAGATGTTTGTCCATGGGACAATGACAGCAAAGTCTGAGCTCTGCCCATACTCCTGTTTCCAAGACTTCCATTTCTGGTCAGCCTGTGCTGATTTAGGCCAAACGCCCTGGATGGCGAGGACTTTCAGTTGCTTTTGGCCAAGAATGGGTTTGTTCTAGCAGACAAACGATCGCATACACAAATGCAGGCCCTAAGGCAGCCCAGTTGAGCCACATTTCTCTTACTCCTCAGCCTGTGGTTGTCTTCACTTGCTTGCTGTAAGCACACATACAGGTCAAGAACTCTTTTTTGACAGCTAATTACAGTAATAATAATTTGGTTTATTTCAGCTGGCAGAAATGTGCAACTTTTCCAATTTTTTCCATTAACAAAGCCATGAAAGAAAAGCGCCACAGAATAGCCAACTTCCCTGGGGTTTCAGGAGTCAATGGGAGGGGTGGGAGATCCACTTGCTGCAAACGAAGCAGAGGAAGGTCAAGAATTTGGGTCTACCGCTTCATAAATGAGTGTCTCAGCCACTGTGGACTATTACAGTGAGGCTGTACTCAGCTATTCCAAGTCTGTCTAGACATTCCCACCCAAAATCTGAGACATCTTCCAGACCCAAGTTGTGTCAGAATGATACCCTCCAGGAAAAGTTCCTATTCCAGTGAATCAGATTCTTCTGACCAAAAAAAAAGATTCCATCCGAAAATCACCAGCTGGTCCTAGCCTCGCTGCCATACTCCTTAACCACAGGAGATTCCTCTTCATCTGAATCACAAAGCACTACAGACAGCCAAGGTGTTATGTATTAACATGAATTAGCCCCTGCAGCAGGGACACAGGCTCACAGGAAATAACAGGAAATCAGAAGAAGCAATGAACCAGCATCAGAAAAAAATTATTTCAGGAGCCCTTCTGCTCCTCCTGACTCCTGACAAACTATCCCTACTTTATTATGGTTACATACAGAGGTAAAACAGGAATCAGTGCAGGACATGCATCACTGCTAACAAGTTACAATACACTTGTACATAAATGAATTTCCTTCTGTTACCAAGAAGTTCAGGATATATATACCTAGTGCAAACTGATTCGTCTGCTGAATAGAAATAGTTTTTCACAAGCAGTGCATTGCACAAGTACATATTTCCTTATGGCTTCCTTGCTACGTCCTCCTTTTGCCCTTTCTGCTAGATCATACGGTCTGGATCCTAACGCCCCAGCCTGAGAAACACAGGCTGTCATGCCTGACGGTTTGGGGAACTATTTCTGAAACCTCTGCCTCCAGCCTCTACCTGACCTTTTGTTTCTTCCCTCTGCAGGCTGATGCCAAGATGGTCTGTGATGTCGTAAGTCGGATGGAGGACACAGAGCCCTTCTCTCCAGAGCTGCTGTCAGCTATGATGAGACTCTGGGCAGACTCGGGGATCCAAGAATGCTTCAACCGATCCCGGGAATATCAACTTAATGACTCGGCCCAATAGTGAGTATCCCTCTCCATTGGCTTTTGCATCTTAAGAGGTTGCATTGGGCTTGTTAAAGTTTTAACCAAAGTGGCTCCCAAGATATTGAGTTACCTCGCTGTAGTGGATCAAGGCACGGTTCTGCTTATAGACCAGGATGCATGTGAGTCGCAGGCTGCTGCCAGGTGGAAGGAACCCAGGCAAGGCTTTCCCTTCACCTCTGGCCCACCTGAGTGAGTTCACAACCTGAGGGCCAAGTTGCCGTACCTCTCACAAACAGTCCAGGGCAGGTTTCTGCAAACATAGATCTAATGAGCAAAGGCAGACTAATCCGTGGACATGACTGATGGCTTGTTCGTTTGTCTGATAGATATTAGAACGGTGTGATGACTTGCTTTGTATGGCAGTACAGCTCGTGGTTTCACTTTTCTGATACCCATATACTACACTGATAGGCAGCTGGACTACCACCAAGGGTAGGGGGACTCTTTGCTTTTAGTATTTTGCATTAGTCTCACAATACAGGCAGTGACATCTATACTACTAGGGACCAGATCCAGATTCTTGTGATTGTGATTGTCTGAATCCATGGCTTTGGTTCATCCCTTTATAAAGACAAGACATTTACCTATAAACAGCTGCTCTGGCCCTAAAGAAACAGTGAGTGTTTCCCCAGTTTCAGTTTAGGCCAATTCCTAATGGTAATTCATCTAATCTGCATGCCTCTGCCTAGGCAAGAAGAGTAAAACTTTTCGTGTCATAATTTCAGCCACTGTAAAAGGAGTTCTTACACCTTGGCAAAAGCTCCTGCTGGCCCTGTACTGTCTTGAACAGTGGTCAGCAAAATATGGTTAAGTAAAAGTATATGAAACAAGCAAGAACGGACTGATCCCTTTCCCAGTTGTACCCATGCACCTTTTGGCAATTAGAAATATAGCGGCTTCCCAGAATGATGACAAGGGAATGTTACATCCATACGTTTGGCCTTCAAAATGTCCCGTGTCAATAACTGCACCAGCTGACTCATGCACTTCTGGAGTGACTATTCTGTGTTTGGACTGTCTGGCGTCTCTGCTTAGAGATAGAGAAGAGTATATTACAACACGGCCCCGCACAGCAGGATGGCTAATGATTTTGTTGTGCATGGCAGGCCTGATTTTCACGGGTCCGTACCAGCTCCT